AAAATAGTTATTTTAAAAATGAAAAGGGAGTGTTTTAATCATTAGAGAATATTCAGTACATTATCGTTGCCTACAGTTCATTTTAGAAATACATTGGTTAGGATGCTTTCAGCTATAATTAACACAATAGTCAATTAAAAGTGACTTAAACAGTAAAGAACATATCCTTTCATATAGCAAGAAATCTAAAGTTGGGGTTCTTCCATAGTTGGTTAATTCAGCAGCTTGATGAGGTCAGGGTCCTAATGCTCTTATTTGCTGACTTTCATTTGAAGGATGGTTTCCAAAGACCACATGGGGGCTATCTCAATTTTGGATTCACATTCTTAAACTGCCTTAAGGATAGTAGGTAGTTTAAAAAAAATAGCCTAGCTCCCCCCACACATAAGCTCAGAACACTTTACCCGATTTTTTTTTTTTTTCTTTTTGGCCAGTATCACATATACAGTGCCTAGACTAATTGTTGGTAGGGAAATAGAACGACCATGACTGGTTTAAACTAATCAATCTCCACCCAAAGCTGAGAGGGCTGACTATCTCTGAGAAGTTTGCTGCCTGATTCAGAAATAAAATTGTGATTCTGTTAGCAAGCAAGAAGGTGAAGAAAGGCTGTTGGGCAAGTGACCAATTGTTTCTATCAAAAAGTATAATTTGAAATACTATTGAATGTGATTAAATGTCTGTATAGTGCAATACTGCTTCAAATAATATATCAGGGAATTCCCCATTGGAAGAAATTGTTCTGGGTGGCCAGCGACACACATGAAATATTTTTTTAGCTGTTGCTCAAACATGCCCCAGTTTATTCCAATTGGATGAATACCAGTCATGCGTCCATTGCAATCTAAGCACTGCAGGGCCTGTAATGTGGCTTTACTGACCTTTCTTCTTTTGGGATGTATGTTTTTAGAAATCAAATGGCTACTCACTCCTCCTTAATTCGTAGATGACAAAAGAGAAACCCAGGCAATCAATATTTATACATAAAACCAGGCTGTACCTAAAGTACAGACATTCGGTAACCTGAGAGGGTAGGGCACATCTTCTCTGAAATTCCCCTGTCTTATTCCTGGTTAATTTTCTTAAGTTTGTCATATCTCCAAAAGGTGAAATCTGATTTAAGTCTTCATGTGAGTTTTCTTATGCTCTATTCCTTAGGATGTAGTGGCCTCCTTGGAGCAGCAGTTCAGCCCGATGATGCAGGCTGAGTTCTCAGTGTTGATCGATGTATTGTACAGTCCAGAACTACTGTTTCCTGAGGGAAGTGATGCAAGAATAAGATGTGGCGCTTTCATGTCCAAGTAAGTGCATACAATGTGAGATTCATCAGTGTTACCAAACTGAGAGGGCCTCTCCCATTCTGGCTTTTTATTCTGTCTATACATAATGACAGTCTACAATGTATGTTAATGTCTATCAAAAACCAAACCAAACCCATTGCTGTCGAGTCAATTCCGACTCATAGCGACCCTATAGGACAGAGTAGAATTGCCCCATAGGGTTCCAAGGAGGACCTGGTGGATTCGAACTGCCAACCTTTTGTTTAGCAACTGTAGCTCTTAACCACTACGCCACCAGCTTTCTGTTAATGTCTAAGATCCACCTTGATAAGTAAAATACAAAATAATTAATTTGAGGCATTTAAAATTTTATTCTCATTAAGGTCAAGTTATCATATTTTACTAAAATCTACTGAAATTAAAATGTGTCATTATTGGGCACAAATATCACACAAAATAATATTTTGGCTCTTATTCCTTTCTATTACTGTATGGTGTGACCTTTTAAAAGTTTCCTGTTTGAAGTCATTGGTTTTCACTAACATAGAGAGAAAGGAAAGAGAACTAACATGTATTGAGGTCTTACCATGTGTGTTACTGTCCCATGTATTTACTGTGATTTATCTAATTTGCACAAACACCTTATGAAGATTGAGAGGTCAGCTCCATTTTAGAGATGAGATGGCTGAGGCTCAGGTGTGCTTCAGGTAAAGCGCAATGGAGTCTCAGATCCAGCACTCTGCCATACTGCTCTTTCATTTACTTTTTTTTTTTTTTTTTTTAGCATTTTTTGTGGAGTTGTCAGATCTATTAGAGCTAATATATTTACCCTAGAATGTTTTCATTTTAATGGTAAGTGAAAAATTATCAAGATAGATCTATAAGTATAAGCAGCTGTGAGAAAAACTGTAACTAGCTCAGGAGAGAAGAGACATGTTTTTAAGGGGGGGTCAGTCATTGAGAGATTTGCAAGTAATCACATGTAGACTCAAGATGGCCAAGCAGAAGGGCATGGTCTTCCTGGGGAGAATATCTGGATGGAGAGTCAGGTAGGACTGCCAACCTCCTTGACCATTTTCTACCACCATAACTTCCTGTGTGGCTGAGGATATTGTTGAAAAAGGTTTAGAAACTCTCTTGATGTGCTGATGCAGAAACTGAAGGATGAGGGAACAGGAGAAGTATTTTCCTCTTTTTTTACCAGTTAAAGCTGAGACTTTAGGAGAGAAAAGAAGGCTTGGGATGAGAAGAACTGACTACAAGATCTTGTTGAACAATAGATGTACTCTCTAAATTAGGGGCCAGAATCATGGATTCTTGGCTCTGGGTCCATTATAACTAAGGGGGCCTGGGAAGAATGTGTTTGTCTGGACAGTTGCTAGTCTTGTCATAAGAACTTCAAAATGAAGAGGCCCAGATTGTCTGTAAAACTGATTACTGTGGAGGACATTAGAAAGAAAACTGTAAGTAGAAGTATTGCCTAGTAATTTAGTATAAAAATAGGGTCTCATAAAAATACCTTTTACCTCATATGTTATATAACAATGTTTAACCCTTTGGTGACCCAATTATTTTCTGCTTTGAATTTTTTGTTGATACCATGTGTTTTCATTAATGGAAGCGTGCTGAATCATTGAGTGTGTCTGAATTTTTGGTAGGTAGTATAGATTTTTTTCCTTTCCCCTTCCCACAAGCCTACCCTAAGTGTTTAGTGGTACATATAAAGTACCATTAATTATACCCCAGAGACTCCACTGGGGTCTTGGTACATGTGTATAACAAAAATTTTCGAAGTTTCTATTTTTCTTAGCAAAAATTCAGACACCTCATACAATACCCTTTAAAAACAGTAATTTGCGACACATGCTCATTTCTTTGGTTTCAGGCAGTCATAAAGGCCCCTATCTTATGGCAGCGTGCACTGTCAGTGGTACAGCACCTTCCCAATAAACCCCAGAGGCTGAAAAAGTTCATGGTCGCTGTATGTACTACCAGACATGAAAGGGATATAGAATATGGGTTATAAAGTGGAGAATTTTAATTTCAGGAAATTAATATTCCCCACAGATATCATTGAGAGCTGATAGTCTAGAATAGGGATTTGAAACTCTAGCCTGCAAGCTGAATTGGTCTCATTATCCATTTTTGTAAAAAAAAAGTTTTATTGTAACACAGCCATGCTCATTCATTTATGTATTGTCTACAGCTGCTTTCTTGCTACAGTAGCAGAGATGCCTGGTTGCTATAGACACTGTATGGCCTTCAAAGCTTAAAATATTTACTATCTGAACCTTTACAGAAAAAGTTTGCCAACCCACTAGTCTAGAACTAGACAGTCAATACAATAGCTACTGGCCACATATGGCTACTTAAATTAAAATTTAAATTAATTAAAGTTAAATAAAAAATTCATTTTCTCAGTTGCACTTGCCAAATTTCAAGGACTCAGTAGCCACATGTGGCTGCCAAATTTGATAGTACAGATATAGAACCTTTCTCTTATCGCAGAGATGTCTATTGGGTAGCACTCAATCTACAACTTAAAGATATAGGTCTATGAAAACAGTGATATAAAGTAACATAGAAAATCAACAAAGTACTGACCTGTGCTGATGACGCAAGCAGGCTTGTGGCACCATTAGGCAAACTAAAGGAGAGAAATAGCAGTGATACGATAATGGGAGTATATTACAGAACCCACATCCAGGTGGAGGAAAAGGATGCACATTTTACTTTAGTGGGTAGAGAACAGATTTTTGTGCTACTGTGATTATATTATGGCTAGAGGCTCAGGAATGTCTATTTTCTGCTCTGATGCTTAACCTACCCCTCCTCCTAACCCTGGGAGGAACCAAGGGTTTTATTTGCAAAGGCGTCTATCGCAATTCACATCCAACTTTATTAACAGCTATGTATGGAGCCTGGTATTGCTGTGCAGAGCTCTCTGGTAAAGTATAGTTGGAGACTATAGCTTAGTACAGGGTCTAAGTGAGGCTTCTTATTTCCTCAAATAAATCTAATTCTTGGAACCTGTTGACTCACACATGTCTGCTAGACAATGTGAGGGACAGACCCTAGGAAAGGATCTGAACTGACATATCCACCTAATCACACAGAATGAGAGAGAAGAGAAAAAGAGAGAAGAGAGTAAGTTAACATGAGGTTACCTTTAAATCGGCCAGTTACGGTGCATTCAAATCAGCACCTACTCCTCCCTTATGAAGAAGAATCTCAGTGATATTGAAACTGTGGGATACGGCCCATATATGAATTTTGAAATCAACTTAGGGAGTGGCAGACAGCTAACTAAAAAAAATGAATTAGAAAAGAATATGAAATATCAGAATGCATTTCATATAGTCAGGGTAGCTTTTGTGTCCATTTTATACACACACTCACACACATTTATCTATATCCTGGGTTGTTTTGCAAAATTTATTTCTTATTTTGATCATAGAAAAATATTTGAAAGCCACTGATCTAACCCACGCAAACATTATGTGATATATAAATACCTTCTGGAGATACGTTAGCAAGTGATCACTCAACTTTTTGTATGATGTTTTCAGTATGGTTAATGAATTAAAGATTTTATCTAAGGAATAGTTAAAGAGAATGGAAATAGCCAGAGAGAGAGAGAAAAAAACAAAAACAAAACAAAATAAAAGAAATTTCAAATGTCCATCAAAACTATTTTTATGTTTTCAAAGACTATTATGTGAAAGAAAGGTCCAATAGTAGAAGTTTTAGAGTGGCAGGCTTTACTTTTCTTGCAAAGAAAACTTTAGAACAACTATTCTGCCTGCTGGACCTGACCACATCGATATGTAATGCCCTGCTCAGTCTCAACATGTCCAAAATGAAGTCATTGTTCCCTTCTTATGTACTACTCTTTCAGCATAAAATAGGTATCATTTAAAAGTCCCACCGTCCATCTATTAATCCAGTCTATGAATTTCAGGTGTCTATGTTCTTTCTCTCATTCCATTTCCCATATGCTATGATTTACCCAGTCTTGGCTATTTTACTTCTATATTACTTCTCGCATCCTTACCCCGCCACATGCCTTCTTCGTCTCTTGCCTTGTTCTCATTCCTATACTTCATCTTTTGTGGCCATCTATGGTGTCTTTCTTACAAGTCATTTGGGCCCTTTATAACAGTGGTTGCCTATTTCCTACAAAATAAATTCCAGCCCTTCAGTATAATATTCCATTCCCTGCTTGTCAGACCTTATCTCTTGCATTCTCTTCTTCCATGTGGCAGTTGGTGTACATTTCCTGGACATGCAGGTCAGTTTCCTGTCTCTGCCCTTTGTTCATACTGTTCCCTTGGCAGGGATGCCTTCTCTCCCCATCTTCCTGCCAGGTGTGAAGTCTTCATTGATAAATGTTATCTTTTCATTGAAATCTTCTCTGGTCAGCCCTAGGGAATTTTGCCCCAACAGAATGAAATTGTTTCTTTCTCTAGTTTGTGGGATTTGCCAATACCTCTGTTACAGCACTTATCATATGTGCTGTAACAGAGCATGTGAGAGTTGGCTGTGTGCAACTTAGTGTGTGCTGGTAATTTTTTACACAGTGACTGATATTCCTGAGATCAGTGAACTACATCATGTCACCCCAGAGTGGTGCTTAGGAATTTTGACTATGAAGTCAGGCAAACCTGGGCCTATTTCCAGTTGTCCCCCCCACCCCCCACCATTTAACAATTATATAAAACGATGGAAGTTGCTTTATCTCTCTGGGCTTCTGTTTTCTCATTAGGAAAATTAGCCTGATACCAGAACCTGTCTCATTGACTTGTGAAGATTGAAACAATACCCAGAAAGCCTTTATACTTTACCTGGCACTTGATAAGCACTTAAAAACCAGTTTCCACTGAGTCATTTCTGACTCATGACAACCCCATGTGTGTCAGAGTAGAACTATGTCCGCAGGATTTTCAATGGTTGATTTTTTGGAAGTAGATCGCCACCTCTTTCTTCTGAGGAAACGCTGGGTGGACTCAAACCTCCAGCCTTTCAGTTAGTAGCCAAGCATGTTAACTGTTTACACCACCAAGAGACCTGATAACTAGTTAACTAGTGAAAGCTCACTTTTTTGCAGGGTTATGTTCCACAGTATTGGTTTTATATCACTGAAATCAGATCGTTTCATTTTATTCTACTTCATTCTGTTTATCTATGTGACTTGTATCTCACTGAATCATTTTGAGGGCCAGCTTTTTTAACAACATGAACTCATGTCGCTCTTATAAATACTGTTATGAACATATTACTTGATTTAGAGTTCTTGGGGATGGTATATAACTGTGGCCCTCAAACTCTTCTAACAGAACACCAGTGCAAAAGTTCAGCAGTATATAATTGATTAGAGTTTTTCTCAAGTTACAGTAAAAGTAGTAAATAGACAGATTGTCTTGATCTTCCTCCCTCCTTCCCTCCCCCCTCTCTCTTTTTCTCTTTCTCTCTCTCTCTTTCTTTTTGCTTTTAATCATGCAGACTGCCTAGATTTCTATCAAGTCCTAGCAGTGAAAAATAGTATACTATTATTAATGGAAACTGGGAAGCAGCCTGTTATGCTAAGGTTGCAGTGTTGTATACTACTAAAAACCCATTGCTGTTGAGTCAATTTTGACTCATAGCAACCCTACTACAATTACATAATATATATTATAGTGTATAACGTAGTACCAAACCAGAAATCTAAACCGGTTGCCATTGAGTTGATTCTGACTTATAGCAACCCTATAGGACAGAGTAGAATTGCCCCATAGGGTTTCAGGAAGTGCTTGGTGGATTTGAACTCCCGACCTTTTGCTTAACAGCCGTAGCGCTTAACCACTACGCTACCAGGGTTTCCATAATGTAGTACAGTATATATAAAATAATATATTACAACATAATACAATGTAACATAAGTATCTGTATTTCTCTACTAGTAAAACACTTTTAGGTCATATGATGGGATTAAGGATATCACTGTTTCAGTATGTTTTTTAAATATTTGTTTCACAAAAAGAATGCTATCGGAGAACCACTGAAATACACTGCTTGCAAAACAAAAAGAATGCTTTATAATACAAAATTTCTAAGCTGAAGTGTAATTTTTTTAACTTTGAAAACAGATCTGATTTACTTCATATTCAAATAATAGCATGATATATTTTCCCTCTAGATAGGCTGTTTGTGTATACCTTCAAGAGAGATCATTGTCCTATTTAAGGTTTAATGTTTTGCTTTAAGGTTGATTAATCATACAAAGAAGCTAATGGAGAAAGAAGAAAAGCTGTGCATTAAAATTCTTCAGACATTACGAGAAATGTTGGAGAAGAAAGACAGCTTTATGGAAGAGGTATTTTCTTTTTTTTTTTAAATTTTAGATTTGAAATCTAAATATAGTAAAATATAGTATTTCCAGAGTATGGTAACCATGGAATTATAATAAGCATTATATGATTACTTGTATTACATATTAATGATGTATATACTTAGCTAAGTTAATTAATTTGAGTTTTTGTCCTATTCAGCTCTCATATCTTACTCTGAATTGAGAAATAACTAAGATTAGAATGACCTAAATATTTAGTTTATTTGATTTATTATATTTCATCTTAGATATGTATATTTTTATTATATAGCCTCAATGAACCATATCACCTTATTTAACAATGAGTCAACTGAAGAGCATTATTTAGATTTTGTATAAAGTTCTGCTGCATTTTAAGAATGGTCTATTCTTTTAGGTATATGTTGATTTTTTTTATCTTAAATATATGTTAATAATGGTTTTTTAGAATATTATCACAATGTTATGATATAATGCTAGTTCTTATAAATAGAATAGTAAGTTTCTATTCTTATCTATATTAGTTTAAGTATTTCACAAATGATTTTCAGGGAAATATCAACTTATAGGTAATAATTGTCAGTCTGTTATTAAAAATGACAGCTCAGGTGCTCATTACGACATAGCTAGCAGCATGTTTAATACCCAAGGTGATACACTTAAATATAAAATATAAATCTAGGGAAGTGTTTTTAGCTAGATATCTATACTTTTGTTAGATATCAAACAAAATTTGTATCCTGCTTCTTAATAAATTTTAGGTTAGTTTCTATAAGTACTAATCATCTGATAATGTTAAAACTGGAAGGATTTTTATTATATTAATTTACATATATACTATTTAATTCCAAAAATATTGTAGTGGTAGTTTTTTTTTTCCTCTAGAAAATAAATGCAGTGGATCTTGGCTATTAATAGAAAGAGCATTGCTTCAAAATACTCCATTTGAATCAGACATTTGCTTCAGTAATAAAAGTGACTTCTGCTTTACATTAGTTCTTTTCATCTTATAAACTATATTTGGAAACAAATCATAGAAATAAAAGTAGTCAATGCAATTTTAGCAAAATATTCTCTGACACAGGAGTCAAGAAAAATGCTTATAAGTTTGACTATAGGTATGCTTTTTAAAAATATTACATCAGGTCCCTTGGAACTTTTTGCCATTTTCTCTGATTCCTTGAAATATTGCTGTAGATTGTTTGATTTGGACTGAAATGCTAGCTGCTAAATTCAAAAAAATAGGGTCAATATAAATTTTTGACCAAAGGATGAGGTTTATGATAACAGTAACTTGTGCTTAACATGAGATGCATGGCAAGCCTTCCAATTTTATGTAATAAATAATTACTGAATTACTCTAAAGGAAAATAGGAAAGAAATCAACTAAGATTTTGTTTTGACTAGTCCAGAGTATTTTAATGTATCTTCTAAACCACCCAGAAATAAATCATGCTGGCATCTGCTTTCTCCTTCCCATTCCCACTGGTATCACTCAGTTCAGGCTTTAGTTATCTCTTGTCTAGAAAGCTCTAGCAGTCCAGGTGCCTGAGACCTGAGACCTTTTTGAGGCAGGGCTGCTGTTTTCACATTCACCATTCCTCTAAGATATGATGTGAATGGTCCTCCCAGGACACAGCCCTCAGAGAAAAGTGAAGACTAAAAAGGCTAGTTGGGGTTTTATTAATTCAGTCATCCAACACATATATTGTGATCAATATTAAATGCTGATTATTGAGCCTGGCACTGGGGATATGGAGATGAATGACACTGCTTGCCCAGGGCCATGCTATTGCACAGCTCCATGGTGGACCCTTCACAAGCTCTGGACCCCTGCAGTAGTTTAGGCAAGAGATCCTAGAAGTTTTCAGAAATCTTCAGGGTTTTCACTGCCCTGGCATTCCAGGCCCTCCATAATATTCTCTCTCTCTCTTTTTTTTCTCACCTTTCTCATCCATTAGCCCACAGAAATTTATCTTACGCAGTATACCTCTCATGTACGTGAGTTTTTTCCTTCATTGAACCTTGCTACATCTGGAATCCGTTCTCTCACTTTCCAAAATCCAAACAAGCCTCAACACCGCTAGTATCGTCTTTGAGGAGAAGATTATCAGTAGCACTTTTCAATAGTTCCAGCCAGTGGTGATTACTTTCTCAGTATAAATACCAAAATATTTTGTGTCTGTCTTTTATGACACTTTAGCCTGTCTGTGAGTATTTAGTCCAAGCTCTTTGTTTTATAGATGATATCGCTGAGACCCAGAGAGCTTATGTGACTTGGCTTGAGGTCACACAGCAAGTGCCAGAACCAGGGCTTAAACCAGAATTCCTTCATCCCTGTCCAATCTTCTTTTTATTAGATCACACTCAAATTTTACAAATATTGTGTATTGCTATCAAGAAAGGTTAGTATACTTTGCCCAGCATGTTTTTGGATCCATATTGTAAGACACAGATAGAATATAGTATCCAAAATAGGTAAAGGCTCAGAAAACCATTAAGCAAACATTAAAGAATGTGGATATACAGTTAATTAACCAAGAAAAGAAAAGCCCGAAAGAGGGCTTGTAAGTGTTATTTATTAGGCTCCATGTTACTAAGGACAGAATAAGACAAAATCTGTAGCTGAAGGAATTACAGATTTTAAGCAACTTCTTAATTCTAAATGTTTTGGACTGAGAAGCATTTTTACCAGTGGAGGTAGAGACTTTTGTCTCACAAAATTGCAAAGAAAAACATAATAGATGTAGAATAATTTAAATACCCACACTGGGAAAGGGGTGGGACTGGATGATCTCTACATGGTGCCAGTTGGCCCTTCCTAAAGTGTTAGTGCTCAATTGTCCATGCCAGTGGAGGAGAGCTTGGAGATTCACCAGCCTCTGTGAAATGACATTGGGTAACAAGATTTAGAAACTGATCAAAGCCACTATTTTGCAACTTACATTAGACTCTCAATCAAACTGTGATTATCAGTAGTGGCATAATAGATACCTGTGTTTTCATGATTTTATTAGTTTCCCTTTGCTGCTATTACAAATTACCAAAAACCTGGTGGCTTAAAACAACAAAAATTTATTATTTTATAGTTTTGGAGGTTGACACTGCTGGAGAATATGTGTCCTTCCTTTTCTAGGTTCTAAAGGCCTCCTGCATTCCTTGACTTGTGGTCCCATCCTCCATCTTCAAAGCTAGCAATGTAGCAGCTTCCAATCTCTCTCTGCCTCACTCTCTTTCTGACACTCCTGTTTCCATTCTCACATTTCCTTTTCCTACTCTGATGCTTCTGCCTTCCTCTTATAAGGACACTTGTAACCATATAGGGCCCAACCAGATAATCCAGGGCAATCTTGCCATCTCAAGATTTTAACATAATCACACCTGCAAAGTCCCTTTTGCCATCTGAAGTAACATATTCACAGCTTCTGGGATTAAGACATGGGCATCTTCGGGAGGCCGTTATTCGACCTACTGGAATGATCCTTTTACTGACTCAGAAATGACATCTAGAATGTTGATGCATAGTTTACTTGTGGCTGTTTAAAATTACTCTGTTGGTTAATTTCAATGTGAATGAATATAGCAAAAAATGCTTTGAATCTATAGCTTTCATTGCTGTTTTCAAAGTATTTTAAAATATTTTGCTACTTTCCAACAACAATTCCAGGAAGTATATAGAATAGGTAATGTTATCTCCACATTGCTAATGTGGAAAGAGAGACTCAGAGAAGTGAATTGTATTAAGTCACACAGGCTGCCTAATCCCTGGTTGTCTAATACGTGATCAAGTGGGTTTCTACTATCTGCATATTGAAGCATTCTCAAGAGATCTTTCAGAATTGAATCAAAAGAGAAGCCTCACATCAGGGTTTTCCACACTAGTTGTCCCATTATTACAGTTATTTAAATTTAAAACTACTTATTTAAATTTAAAACATCAATTAAAAAGAAAATCCCAATTTTAGTTTCTTTGGTTCTTATCACCAGAGGTTGTGTATCTGTGTGTGTGTGTAGTTGCTAAAAACTTAAAAAGAAACAATAAAGCATAAAATGACTCTATGGTTGAACCAGATGACCTTTAAAGCAATTTCCAACCTTGAGATCATAGTTTTCTGATTTTGTTAGCCTTCTCGGTATGTTATATGAAATGAAACCATAATGTAACTGCATTTTATTTTACCTGGTATTCAGTCAATTATTTTCTAAACATTTATAATTTATAATACTTTTGATTATAATTCCTAAATTAATTGTACTTAAGAATATGCTTCCTTGCCTCATGTTCCCTAGTTTGTGTCAAAAGGTTGGGAGGTAAGCTGTGGGTGGGCAACATCTTGAAGAAACTCAGTAGGATGATACAAGTAAAGGAAATTTTAATTTTCTGTTGTGTGTGTTTGTGAAATCATCTAGTGATCATAGAGTGATTAAATTATATTGCTTTTTTTTGTTGAAAGATAAAAGATAAACTTATACATAGAAAGTCCTTAAGGGTAAAAAATTACATAAGTCATTTTTATAAAAATTCCATGTGAGTATTGTTTGCTTAGGTGATTTTGATACAAAAGCCAAAGCTACAAAGGATATAACACTAAAGGCCTTGAAAGCCCAGTATCCCTCTGGGGTCAGTCAGGTTTGAAAGGCTTTTTTTAGGTAAGACCAGTAGGCATCTTTATTTACACGTTAAAAATACATGTATGCTGGAAAATTTGCAGAGGAAAAGAGAAGAGAAGGAATGTTTTAAAATGGTTATAGGGCAGTATGATTCCTAATGTTCTCCATCCTTGAAGCCATTTTTTTACTCTTGTTATTCCCATGACTTCTCTAGCACAAAAAGAAATCCCTGATTGTATATATGTACAGTGAAAAAGAGTATTTACTTATAACATCATACCTTTATTTTTCATAGTCAAAGATATTTTAGATATAGATCTGAGGAGAGGTTTGCCTGAGATGGTAATGGAGATATAAGGAGCTATGGGGAACTAGCTAGAGATGAGTTGATGGGG